ATATACTCCCTCCGTCCTGAAAAGGTTCGCTAACTTTGACTTTCACGTGGATTAATAAAGTAAAAAGGGTGTGGTTGAAATTTGTGTAGATGAGAGAGAATTTACTTTAGCCACATATTCCTTACTTTAAATGGAAATGACAAATATTTTTGGGACATCCAAAAAATGAAATTTGGCAAATCTTTCCGGGACGGAGGGAGTATATTTTTAAAATGTGAATACTTAGTCTTACACTGTTTTAACTCTCATATTAGCCTCAAAAAAGTTTGTTTATTGTCAAACCAACAAATATATGAAATCAACAAAACGTTCGTCACATGACTGATAATACCATCAAAGAAAAAGCACGAAGCAAAACGATAAAAAAGCATTCTCTCTACCATCCACCCCTGTGCCAGACTTAGAATCTATCACCTTTGTAGAAGCAATAAGATTCCTTGATCCTGTAATGGACTTAACTGAGCCAATGACAGGCAAATCAGACTTGTCATGACCTAACTTAAACTCTAGAATCTTACTGCTGGGAAATAAAAACACGTCCAAAACAACACGCAATCCGAAAGAAAAACACAAACAAAATAAAACGGAATTCAAACAAAGTTCACTCATCTTTTTCGAAACTCTAGACTCTCTTGCACTCCATGGAGGCGGTTCGGGAGGGGGACACGTCTGCCACTCATCCGCCACAATAGCCATGCTTTTGTATTGATTGACGATATCCTCCATTGGTATCCTTTGCTGCTGAATCAAACCCAAGCTCCGTCACAGCTTATCCACCTTTTATTTGTCTACATTCGACCTTCGACCATAAACAACAGCAGAAGTCGAGCGCTGACCGCCAAAGCGCTTCATCCCTAGTCACGAGCCTGCTTACACGATCAAAATTGAATGACGTCTGCTCTTCGTCAATGACGAAAATGGAAGAAACAAAACCCTAACTATCGTAGGGAGATGACCGTTGTTCTGGCTGCGCTCTTTTTGACAAAAAGTTAGAAACCTTTTCTATTTCGATCTTTGTTTTATTTTTTTAGCCTAAAAAAGTTATAAAAAAACAAATTTAAATATTTATAGTAGATATATGTAACTGAAAGCAACTTTTTTTGTAAGTAGACTAGTTTCGGGATTAAAGATAGGCTAAAAACAAAATAGTGCATAATGTAGGGATGAAAGAAAAGAAAAATATTTTGAAGAGAACTAAAACAAAATGTGTAGTATTTAAGGGACTAAAATGTATTTAAGCCTCGAAATGGTTAATTGGTAGTGGAGTGTCTTAAAATTCACACAAAATCAAATTTGTGTAATGAGATCGTTTCAAAATTCTCTCAATGTCAATATTCTCATGTCAAATCAAAGTTGAAGGCTTGTGTGGTTTCCCTTTATTCTTATTCCCTTTTTAATAACCGACCAGAAATAAAAGTAGTATTGAAAGTGAAAGAAAAAATAATTGCTTGCGGCGACTCCTTATTTTTTTACTTTTTCCCTATTTGCTAGTTAAATTTAGGTTATTGGGTCCTAGTCATATAGCCATGCCAGAGGCATCTTTCTCTGGTAGCGTATCGTAATTCCATTCTACTCCAAATTTCTACTCCGTATATTGATATAAAGATATGATGAAATCGATGGGAAAAGACTTCCTTTTTCTTCTGTTCAAAATTTATAAAAAAAAACTGAAAATACGTGGAAAGTCAAAACGATTTAAAGTTATTACGGATTACATTTTTTCTGACATTAAGGTTCAACAATTATAAATAACTGAAAATACGTTGAAAGACAAACTGATTTAAACTTAATACTCCGTGAAATGTATTGAAAAACTTACTTTTTTTGACAAAATGAAAAACTTACTTTGAAAAGAGCAACCCACGCGTTATAATTTAGTAATGCATTACGCCATTAAGCTCAAAAACTTCAACATGAATTATTATGATTTCATTACCACGTACTCTAATCATTAATCATATTTTTGTAAATCATTTTTATTTTTGTCATATTTATGTAATTATTTCATTGGTAAACGGCGTTTCATCCGGAAAATGGCGGTTTGATCACTTTAGCGTTTTCAATAAGTGAAAAAGTTGTGTGGTAAATAGTTGTTCGGCATCGGCGTTTTTGGACGGAAATGCTGAAATGAAAACGCTGCTAATAAGAGAGTTTTGGGTTGACGTTTTAAAAAATGACATTTTCTACTAATTTTATGGCCAAACAACTGAATTATCAAACATCTTCCAACAAACCGCCAATTTATTCTGCTAGTCAAACCCGCTGACCGAATTTGCTATTAACAACCCGCTAACATAGCCATGTTTGTTTTTTGGCGGATTCGAACCCAACCGCTGCAAAATGCAACGTTTTCATTTGGGGGAAATGGCGGATTGAAGCGAATCCGCTATTACCCAAATGCAGGCATAACCCGCTATCCGCTATACGCTAATCGTTGAATACCAAACACACCCATGGTGTTAAATTAAGGGGAAAATAATTGAAATTGTATAAATTATCTTAGCAATAATATTTTTCCGGGAAAATCGCACTTTCCCGAGATTATTGAAATAGTCACATTATTGAAATGTCCGACCCTTATTCCCGAGATTGTAAATGTCACTCCTCAATTGTCCAAATTGCTATAAATGTGGTCATTTGAGGGTTGAAATGTACTCCTCCCCACATTGTACATTTCACTCCTGAAAGAAACACATTTACAACAATTTGGACAGTTGAAGGGTGACATTTACCAACTCGGAAATACGAGTCTAACATTTCAATATGCTGACTTTTTAGGAACTAAAAGTGTGTTTTCCACTATTTTTTCTTTTACAAATGTAAATTTGTGGTAGTGTTCAGTATATATTTTAACATATTCTAAGCATTTTTGAGGATACGGTTAACGCTCTAAACTTTCATTTCAGAAAAACTAATATTACCTCCTGTTTATGTAGTTGCGACACTTTAAATTTGATATTTACGGTCACACGATGTTCACCATTTAGCATATTCAATTGACTTTTGCATCATTCATGTGATCCACATTGACTTTATTTTATTGAATGTTATACTTGTATAAAAGAATTCTCCCATATAAAATATTTAGAACTTGTCACAATTTAAAATTTCAAAAAGCGACTACAATTTTTACTAATAGTAGTGTATTAGCAAATATAAAACTAAAATGGTTGCAACTATATATATATATATATATCAAGGTTTTGGTTCAAATAAAAACATAGTTTTGGGAGAGAAATGAGAATGAATCCGGATCATTAGATTTGCTTTAAGTAAAATTTAGTGTACATTAGATGAAATTGTAATGTGCATTAGGTAAAATTGAAATATGCAGCACAAAGGGTACAATAGAGTGGCATTATGTGAAGCATAATTATGCATGATGTGAAAATGAAATGTGCATTAGGTGAAACTGAAATGTGCATAATAAGAGATACAATGTAATCGATGTTATTTTTGTACCTTTTATTCCGCACATTTCAGTTTCACCTAATGCACACTTGAGTTTTAATTTTTATTCTACACATTTCAATATCATATAATGCACATTTAAGTTTCACTAAATGCACAATTCAATTTCACATAATACAATCCAAGATTCAAATTTATTCTCTTTTCTTTTCTGGGAGTCCGTTCTTATCACCGCTCCCTATAGATCAAAGTCTCAAAAGTGATACTCAGTATTACTTACTCCGTATATCACAAACAGATGCTAAGAATGTCAGTGGCACCCTCATAAATGAAAAAACATCTGATCATGATGTTCTTAACTTAATTGTTTAGTAAAGTTCTATGTCTTTATACAAGTATTACATATGCAAGTTTATGCTATTTAATTACTTCATACCACTTCAACGTTTGAAGTAATTGATTTATTTTTACTTAAATTAAACACCTAAATTTCTGGGGGGAAATGTAAATTGACACATGAATATATTTATGTAGTACTCCGTACGTAATATATTGTGTTTTTATATGGTATTTCTTACTTTCCTCCTACTTGTCAGTTTATAGATACGTTTATTGGATCAAACAACATAATATTTTATTATAATTTTAAATTACTATAACTTTGAACAATCAACATTTAATAAAATTTCAAGGACATATATAGATTATATGTCTAGTTTTGAACTCATTAAAACCATTGTATATCAAAATACTGCCGTGTTAAAAAATGAAGTACTACGTATGATTTAATTTTGTTATTTCATCCTTCAATACAATTTTATCTAACAGTTTGATTTTATATATCTTACTTTATCATATTGCAGTACAAAATATCAAAAGGTCTGTCGGTCAATCACGAATTGACAAATTTTTTCGTTTATATATTTTTTTCAAGAACAAAAGTTTTCTACCTATTAAGTTAATCCCACATATTAGAAGTTTTGTCATATCTTAAATCTCTTCTGACTTTAGACAAACATGATTCATACTTAATAAAAAAATCATCAATGGCACATTTCAAATAAAGTTTAGTGATCATATCAACAACCCGTCTAATACATGGAATCACTTCATCACAACTTGTTTATCATTTACATTTTCTCTACAAATTATATGTTTTTCGATGAAATTATCTAAATATCTATTTTTTTTGTACGTGAAGCAGGGGCACAATTTTTATATTAAATACTACTTCCTCCGGTTCTTATTTAAGTTCCCAGTTTGACTTCACACATATTAAGAAAATGAATTTGACTTTACTGTGGAGTGCACTGTTTGGCACTGTTTGACACTGTTTGGACACTGTTTGGCACTGTTTGGCACTGTTTTGCACTGTTTTGTTTCCTAAAATGGAAGTGTGACTTTAAATAAGGGACATCCCAAAAAGGAAAGTGAGAACTTTAATAAGAACCGGAGGGAGTAATACTAAACTTCTGCTTCAGAGGGGCAGGGGCGGATCTAGCTTTGGCATCCAGGTGGGGCCAAAATGTAATTAAAAATGAATATTCAAAAAAAAATTCTAGCAACAAAATCAAAAACAAAAATAAAGATATAGGAATAAAAGTTTGCATTAAAGTCAAATACAAAAACATCATAATTTTACAACTGTTCTCTACGGGTTTTCATCGATTGATATCGTTTGATAATGACATCATTGTCAATTTTCAAGAAGATGTCTTTTTCCACATAAACAATAAGTCTATCATTGAACCAGTCGTCACTCATCCGGTTGCTCAACCTATCTTTCACGATATTCATTGCTGAAAATACTCTTTCAACACTAGCGGTTGCAACAGGAAGAATCAATGCCAATGTCAACAACTTGTAAACTAAAGGAAACACCTTGTGCTTCTTAGTTTCTACCAACTTCTCTGCAAGGTCACCAAGTCCATTGAGCTCCTTAAAAAAAGCATTAGAGCGCACATCAAAGATATAACTTTCAAGTTGATCAGTGAGAATACAAACATCTAATGGTGAAAAATCCCGGGGATAAAACTCGGCCAATCTAAGAAATTTCTTCTTCTCAAAAGCAGAAAATGAATCTCGTGGAGATAAGCAAGCAATGCATAGTAGAAACTCTGTACTAGCTTCTGAAAAGCGATCACCCAACTCTTGCAGTTGCAAATCAATCACAGCACAAAATAGATCATAGCGATAGTGATGCAAATTAGTAAAAGTTGGTCCTTTACGTACGGGGCGACCTCGAGAATCAAAACGGATGAATGTGTCATTCATGTTTGGGATATCAATAGAATGTTGATCACAAAAATTACAAACCTCCTCAAACAATGAATCCCATCTGTCATCTCTAGAAGCTTGAAGTCTGTACCTGCAAACTCTAACAAGATCCATTGCATTGACAATATCTTGGTCACGCCTTTGTAAAGCATGAGACAACTCATTTGATATTCCCAAAATAAATTTCATCATATGCAAATTTAGAACAAAATCAAAGCAATGCATCATCTTGAGTAAATACTCTATCTCCACCTTTTGCATAGACGTAGTTACGTCATCATCGTGTATCACATCAAGAGCATCACCAACAGCAGAAAACATTGAAATCAAGCTCACCAAAGATCTATAATGTGAACCCCAACGTGTATCACCAGCGCGCTGAAGGCAAGATTCTTGGTGAAGACCCCTTCCACTTGAAATTTTACCACTTTCAAGCGCTTCAACAATGAAGTTCAATTGTTTTTCACGAAGAATGTCAGAACGTTTACACGAACCTCCAATAACATTTATCAGTTGAGTAACAACACGAAAAAAATCAGCAATGAGAAGATTCTTTGTTGCAACAGCTACAAGGGCAAGTTGGAGTTGATGTGCAAAGCAATGAATGTAATATGCACTTGGGTTCTCATTAAGAATAATTGTTTTCAACCCACTTAGCCTCCCTTGTATATTACTCGCCCCGTCATAACCCTGCCCTCTTAATCTAGATATGCTCAAGTTGTGTCTACAAAATAGCGTGTCAGTCGCTTCCTTAAGTGCAAGTGATGTGGTACTAGTGACATGTTCAACTCCAATAAATCGTTCTTTCACATATCCACTAGCATCAACATAACATATCACAATTGACATTTGCTCTTTTGTTGATACATCACAGGATTCATCAACTAGAATAACATATAAAGAATCTCCAATATCTTGAATGATAGCATTCACCGTTTCAATAGCACAAGCATGAGCTAAATCTTTTTGAATGCTAGGTGCAAGAAGTTTACAATTTCCTGGTGCATTATCCATTACTACAGAAGCTATCTCAACATTATGATCTCTTAAAAATTCCATGGTCACTAGAAAATTACCTGGGTTTAGAGAGTCTTCAGATTCGTCATGACCGCGGAAAGGTAACCCCAACCTCAACAAGTACCGCACACAATCAAGAGAGGCTGTCAGTCGAATGCGATAATCATGCTTTGTCTGCATTGATTGATTGTCCAAAATTGTCTCGATATGTGCATCTTGGTTCATCAATGCATCACACCTCATTCGAGCTTGATTGTGCTCACTATCATGCTTTCCAACATGAACATTAAGTTTGGCCTTATCTTTCCAACTGCTAAATCCCTCTGAAACAAACACATCTCCTCCTGATTGTTTCCCTTTGTTGGGTTTGAAAAGGTAACAATACAAACAATAAGCAGCATCTTTAGATATGCTATACTCCAACCATTCATGTTCAGTAAACCAAGTCGGAACAAATCTTCTTGATTTATTTGCAGAAACCATCTTCATTGGGAAGTCATGTTCAAATGGTTGACAAGGGCCTTTCTGCAAATATGCTCTTCGAACTTGATCTCTAATATTTGGATGATACCTTGAGATCGGTATTCTCAATCCAGGGTCAGATGGAAGTTGGGAAGCATCAAACTCATTAGCGGCGACTGATTGTATGATTGTATGCTCTTCGTCATTTGTTGTTGAGTTTTCTTGAATTGTAGTTGACGGCACAGCCGGCACTACAATTTTTGATGAGCTACTTTCATCAGCTTTTTCTTCAATAGGGTTATAGTATCTCTTCATTACCTATTTACCTATGTTGAAAATAACGGGATGACTACTTACAACACGAATATTAATTAACTTAATAATTAGATTAATTAGAACACCTACAAGTCACAAGCAAATACATAATACAAATGATGATTACAATTTACAAGTTCACAATTAATAATCAAATTCACAATTTCACATCAAGCAAAGTTTAAAATTCACAATTTACAAGTTCACAATTAATAATCAAATTCACAATTTTACACAAAGTTCACAATTAATAAAAGTTTAAATTCACAATTAATAAAAGTTTAAATTCACAGAATCACAAATACACAATCAAAAAAATACCTGTTGGGCTGTCGTGCAGAGCTGCAGAACTGCAGAAGTGTAGTCGGCGGCAGGGGCGGTCTCCGGTCGGGCGGAGTCGGCGCAGCCGCGCAGAGCTCAGTCTTCTCGGCGGAGTCGGCGCAGAGCTGCAGCAGTGCAGGCCGCAGCAGCCAGCAGGCGGACGCCGCGGACAGGCTTCTCGAATCTCGCCGTTCTCCGGTTCTCGCCTGAGTCGCCTCTCGGTCTTGCCGTCTTGCCGTCTTGGCCCTTGGGATTGCGTTTTGCCGTTTGGGATCGCAGAGGGATTGCGTTTTGCCGTTTGGAGTCGCCTCTCGGTCTTGAAGAAACGGACTCTTTCTTTTTTTGGACTTCAAAATTCAGGTTGGGCCTGATTTTTTAAAAATTCAGACTGGGCCTAATTTTAAAACACCTATACTAGTTAAAAAAAAAATTCAGCATGGGCCTAGGCCCTGCCTGGCCTAAGGCCCAATCCGCCCCTGCAGAGGGGGACACTTGCTCCCCAGAACCCCCTAGATCCTCCACTGGGAGTGGTCGACTGGTCGCCCATCTTATGCCCAATCACGGGATAAGATGATTTCACATGTATATATTATAGTGAGAATAATAGGAAGCCATAAGAAAGAAAAGATGCAAAAGTAAAAATTCCTATTTCTCTGTACAAATATAGTACGATGATGATATCTTATAAAGAGATTTTTCATGAAATATTAGTTAAATAAAACTCATGCACAAAAAATCCTAAAATTACAACGTGCATGATAATCTCATAATCGATCACCATTCACGTAAAATTGAACGTAAAAAAAAGTATTTAAAGTTCAGTAATACTACGTGCTTGTATAAGTACTTTGTGTATGAGGTCACATTTTTTCCACCATCTCTATTATATTCATATACATGTCATTACTTGTTATAAAAATAGGAAGTAAATTTAGTACAGATAAATAAAACTTTTTTGGTGGTAATCAAACTATTTTTAAAAATGGAATAATTCAAAAGAACGGTGTCAATATAATATGTAGTATTCCATTCGTCTCGTTAAGATTTTCTCATTTCTTTTTCGAGAAATCTCACTCAGTAACATTTGTATCACTACTTCTTTTGATATTGAATTGATAAAGTAAGAATTATTTAAAGCCACATAAGTTTTACCAAATTGAATAGTATATTCACACTGTGTGCTAAAATTTGTGTGGAAACTTTATTCTTACTTTATTAATTCAATATCAATCACATAAACTCACTTATCATAATAATTGTGTTACCTCCTCAAATCTGAATGTTAGCGAGACGGAGGTAATAGTATTAACTAAAACCTTTAATTTAATTAGAATATAAAGGGAAAAAGGTCAAATAAGCTCTCGAACTTACATAAAAAGGTCAAATAAGCCTTTAAATTATACAGGAGGTTCTGTCCGGTCATCGTCATTTGGGGCAGTTCCCCGTAGACTTTTTTGATGAAATTTGTTTAGCATCTTATTCATTAAGTCTAGTTTACTCATACCAAATTTCAGCTAACAATTCAATCGGAAAGACATTCAAATGAATTCTTGAAGATAACTGCGCTTCTAACTGCGCAGTTATCTTCAAGAATTCATTTGAATGCTTTCCCGATTGAAACTTCAGCTTAAATTTGTTATGAGCAAATTAGACTTAATGAATAAGATGTTCAAAAAATTTCATCAAAAAATTCCACCGGGAACCGCCCCAAATGGCGACTGCCGAACAGAGCCTCCTATTCAAGAGTTTATTTGACATTTTTGTGTAAGTTCTTGGGTCTGAATGATCCTTTTCCGGAATATAAAATATGGTACAGGAAACAGTATGGAGTGCAACAACTTTTACGGCTGAGCTCGGATGGTTGGTAAGTGAACAGCTAGCAAGTGGGTTCATAATCGAATGGTCTGTCTCCATGACTCATATCCATATTCAGTGCTTTGTCTTTCTATACTCCACTTGTTATATACAGTTGCGTACAATGAATATTTGAATATCATACTCCGTATCAAATATTGGAGTCAAAGGATACCCACACGGGTGCCAAATTATATTTTACTCTTATCTTAAAAATAGATAGAAATAATTTTTATAATAGAAGTAAAACATGCTTTTTTGGAAGAACAACCTGTTAAAAAGACAAAAATAAGATATATGTTTAAGATTTCGTAAATAGGACTTTTTTGTGATTGCAAAAGAATTTTCCTTTAGAGCTCCCACTATGGGAAGGTCATAGGGGATCAAAAAAAATTGATCCCACTTGATCTCCACTATGGAAGATAACAAAGTGAGATAAAAAGGAAGGTCATGAACGGGTAGCTGACAATTGCATTGTGACTAACCAATTAGAAAAAGCCAAGTGACATTTTACTTGGAACCAACCCCATCAACTATCCCCAACTCTCTAATTTCTTTTATTATGCATTAAATTTAATTTATATAAAAAAAGTATATCAAAAAAATAGATTTTTTTTCTCTATATATAGACACCAATGAAGGATATGTTCAGTTACTTCAAAATTTACCATTTCTTTCCTTCTTGCCTTATTTTATTGTTTCAGAACATTTTTCCTCTGAATTAAGGATATGTAACATTTTTTTTAAAATCATTACTCCCTCCGTCCCAGTCATTTCTTCCAATTTTGACCGGTATCGCAAATTTAGGTAGTGGGAATAAAGTGAAAATGTATGGTTGTAGTTGTGTAAGAAAAAAGTGAAAGAATGTGAACCACATATTTTTCCAAAAGTGGAAGTTAGAAAAATTAATTGGGATGACCCAAAAAGGAAAATTGGAAGAAATGACCGGGACGGAGGGAGTATATTTTTATTTTTTCACAATAAATAATTACAGTGAGTCAAATATGAATTTTATATGGAGTATTCCTTTTTCAAAAATTAAATAAATTAATAATGGTGGAATATATCAAATATAAGGAGAGTGCGTGTAAAAATTTTAAGTGACGTAGATCATCATAGTGAGGAGAAAATGTGATAGGTTGAAGGGAATTAAGATTTTGGAGGGAAATGATGTGGAAGAGAGGCGGATAGGGGTCAAATGCATTAGCATTGTGGATGCTCTTAGAGGTTGTAGGGGTTTTAGGCTTGTCAATGCCACTATGTTGCCGCCCATGGTGAATAGCCATCAGAGCTCTGCCGCTGTTACAAACAATTGCTTCCGATTTCTAGAGCTTCGCCTCCATCACAAACATTCCAAATTTCCGCTGCCGCCACCATCACTGGACTATCCCACCACTAACGAACTATCCTTGATTATGCATTTAATTTTAATACTCAATAATTATATATTTCGTATTGTAACAATACAAAACAACATGATCAATGGAGCATTTCCCTTTTCTTCCAAAAAAATGGAGGACCTCCCTTTTGAATTTCAGTTATTATTGATCTCTTTTCGCATTCAATGCATTTTTCAATTGATCAATTCATGTTTTTTATTTTTTGTAAAATATGGAAAATGCATGTTTTGTTCCTTTTTTGTAAAGTACGGGGAGCAGGGGCTTTTTCCTTTTTAAACCGACTGTTTTTCATCTTAAACATATTTTTTCTGATAAAAAAAAATGAACATGCTTAAAATTCGAAAAAAAACTAACTAGGAATCTCCTATACTAGAGATAAAAACATGGAACAAAATTCTTTAAACTTTAATATAATAAGAATTTTATTCTAACTTAGATAGAGAGTGAGTAGGAACATGAGTCCGCCCTAGGGAAACGGGAAACCCTAGACGGCAAGCTCCTGGGCGATCTAATTTTCTGGTTTTCTTCTCTCAAATTGGCAAGAGTTTTGATGATTGTGATGTTCTCTGGACAGTAATGATTCAAAGATTTTGTTATGTTGTCTCTCTTTTTTATTCCTATCTTTTAGGGTTCTGGTTTTGATCCGACATTTTCTTTGGCCGAGAGTTATGTCTGCTTCATGTATGTGAGCGTGCGTTTTGTTCTTCTCCTAGCAATGTCTAAAGGTTGTGTCTTCCTCGTCGGTGTAATCGACCGAGTGCTTCATCATTCATGGTTGACAAGACAAGTTCAATCTAGTTCTTCTGGAGATTCAATTATTTGCCTTCCTCCTGAACCACTGTCTCACTCGAAGAAAAAAAGATAGCATTCAAGTGGATTTTCTTTTCGATGGCTGGTCAAACAAATTCTTCCTTTTCGGTGGCTGGGGAAGCCGGATCTTTTAGTTGTAATTTTTTTATTGTCTCATTGGAGTAGCAAAAAGAGCCACAAGACTTTTACACTAGAGTACATTATTGCGGGTTAGCGATCCCGAAGGATCCATTAGATCTTTTCCATTCTATATCTCATTCCATTATGGATTTAAGCTATTCATTCTCTTGTATTTTTCTACGGATTATCTTTAATACTTCCTCCGTCCCAAAATTATTGTCCTACTTTCCTTTTCGGTCCGTCCCAAACAGTGTTGCTGCAGTGTCACTACAGTGCCAAACATTGTTGCTACAGTGCCAAACAGTGTCGCTGCAGTGCCATTTTCTTAATTTGTGTGAAAAAACAAACAGAATAATAATTTTGGGACGGAGGGAGTAATAAATGAGTTATTGGATTTTCAAAAAAATATCTTTAAACTTCCAGGCCCGACTTCGAAATCTTTAAACGGATCCAGATTTGAAAGCTTAACCTAGAGGCTAGATCTCATGGGTCTCGGATACGGATTTGGATCCAATTTTTAAAAAAATGGAAAGAGGCAAAACTTGTTAATTTCGACCCTTACGGGGCGACCCACGGGCCTAATCCGCAGGATTCCAGATATGCATAATATGTCCTTAGTTCTTTACCATAATCCCGACGCGCTTACTTCTACTCTGCTTTGCTCGACTTCTCTGTTAACGGCTAACAATCCCGTTCACAGTTTATGAGCATTATATTCCACCATAAAAGTTGAATTTCTTTTTATCTTGTTGGGCCGTAGATTATATAGATGGCGGCGTCTATTGCTAGCTGCAACTTCAGCATTTCAGGTTCGATTTATGCCCCCACCCTACATGTGCTTTAAATTTGTTGTTGAAAACTGATTCGTTGCTCTGAAATTAGGTAAATTAGTTTTGATTATCTTCATTTTAGGTCCTTTTCAGTTCAAAGTTGGCAAAGATTGTTCGGTTCTGTTTCATTGCTCTAATAGGTTCAAACCCAGAGAGCAGCCTTCTGTTCTGGTGATGCCTAAGAATGTAAAATCTATATGTCTTGCACTATTTTACATTGTACATGTTATCATGCATTATGCCTGTGTGAAGGATCATCTTTATTGGTGGTTTTTTTCCTTTTGGTATTAGAGAACTACCTTAAAGATTGAGAATACTTTACGAGCAAGTCATGATGTCAAATGCAGCTCATATGCCCCAAAAAATTATCTGCGCTTGAGTGTTGATAATAGTGATGAACAACAAGGTTTTGGATACCTAATGAATTGGTTCAGGTACTTCAATTGCAATGCACATCTCTGTATGTAGTCCTAGTTTGGTTGGACTAAATACATGGAAAAATGATGACTGAATGGAATATGCTTGAATCTTTTGGCTGCCAAAACATACATTGTACTCGTACATGTTACTGATTGTAATATGCTCAAGCTCGTCATCAAAATTCTTAATTGCTTGGTATTTTGGATTGTGAAAAGTGAATAAGCTTGGCTAACTTCATTACTATAGACCGACCTATTACTTTGGATTCACTAAGCTGTCATAACATCTCAAATCTTTCACTTTATTTGGATGGACGAACTGAATAATGAGAGCAAAGCTTTAGGGAATATATTAAACGCCTTTTTTGTGTAGATATGCCAAATTTAAAGGGAAAAGATCAAGTATGACTTACTACAGAGTACTAAATAGCGTAGATCCATTTGTGCTCTGGAGAAGTACAGCAATTCAGAACATTGTCACATACACTTGACCGATATTTCCTCCGTTACTCAAAAGGTTACCATTTTCTTTTTCATTTGTACCAAAATAATATTTTTCTTTCCTTCTCTGGAAGGAATTGTGTGGCTAAATTTCTCTCTCACTCCTCTGCTAACTTTAACTACATAATCTCACTGTTCTTAAGAAGCACACATAATCATAGGGAAACTTATTTGAGGGACAGATGGAGTAGTTTTATAAACATAATGTCTTATAATAGGCAAATAGCTGATCCTGCCCTTTCAAAGTCAAAGAAACTAAGGAATCCTTTAATTTTCTGCAAGGATCTTATCATGAAGTCATGACTATTGAATTTTTCTAATGATTTAGTTGTTCAATATACAGGGCAATGAAAACTGTTCTATCATTTCTTGCTGAACAGCCAAGTCAGCTGAAGTACATAGAATGGCCAAGCATCCAGACGACAGTTAGTTCTAACTTTAAACTCTTATTTACCAATGATATTTCATTTTATCATTTTCACTCTTTTATATGTATGGTCTGTTTTAGCGATCTCATCACCAATCATGGAACATGAGTACATGCCCTGTGAGATAGATATATGAAATTTCTGTTTATCCGTTTTGATTAAGGTATGAAAGAATGACATACATATAACAATGTATCATTTGACATAAACATCCTTTCTAGCCACGTAATGGATTACAACCAAACTCTATTCCCAAACACTTCTTGTTTTTTGAAATATTAAGTGGTCAATGAGAGTCTAGAAATATTAGACGGAGTATTTAAATGAATACCATTCTTAGGCAAACAGATATCATTAGATTCTAGCTGTTTAGCATAGCTCATAAACAAACTTATGTTTGAGCTTATTTCATTTCAGATTTCATCAATCACCTTTAACCTGGATTTCTTATAGATGTAGGAGTAATTGTGTTTGAAGTAGAACGAGTGGTTATGTTTGGAGTAGAACTGATGCTGGTTTCTTTTACCACTGCAGCTGAAGACTGCTAGCCTGGCCCTTGCTCTAGTCGGTCTGTTTATCATCGCATTGGCATCCGTTGATTCTGCTCTATGTTATGTATTGGCTTTCCTTTCAAGAAGGGCAACTTGATAGTGAATTCTTCTCTGTGTTATGTATCTTTATAACTGATTTTTTTGTAAGAATTATTTTCATTTGCTTGTGCTTTCAAGAAGTTATTTAGTTTATACGTAGTATATTATATGAAAAGTAATAATAGAAGTTTGTTTGTAGTGTTTGAAAACAAAAATGATTTTCAAAAATTAAAAGTTTGAAGTGTTTGATAAAAATACTCTTTAATACGGAGTACTAAGTATATTGTTAGGATAATCCGGTAATATGTTATACAAAATGTGAAAAACATTTTGAAGCACCGCTCTCCGTGAAGTGCTTAAAATTTAGTACTAGCAAATAGCAACAACTTAAAACACATTTGTAGCTTGTTAAATCAAAGATAGAGAAGTGCTTATATAAAGCAATAGCACTACTTTTGGCATTTTCTATCATTTTGATGCCTTAATTTGTTAATGATCGGCAAACGATTTATAGCTAATTCGTTGATTGGGACGTGAATGAGAATTAAGACCTCTGTATAGGGGTGGATGCACAGGCGGACTGGACTGGGACCGGTGATCCGATTCCGATGCAGGAGGATTGGGTATCCGATCAAGTATCCGGTGGGCCCGGCCTCAGTTTTTGTAAAATGGGGATCGGACTGAGCGTTCTTGGTCCCAGTACGGTCCCAATTATCAAAATTCAATTTTTATTTTTATTTTTTGGACTTTTCATAGGGGTGTTATGGCCGTTGCAACGACTAATAGCAGGATTAGCAGCTATAATGTTGTTGGGGTGGGAGATGGGGATTGGGCGGACCGTGGGTGGGTGTTAAAAAAATCCTAATGGCCTGTTTGTTTTGGGGTTAACCTAGGTTACTGTAGGTTCAATTTTTAGTTAACCTAGTTTGTTTGTTGGTTAAGTTCTGATGGTTAAGTTCTCATTTAACATAAAATGAGTTAGAGTATTTTCATCCAAACAACATTTATTACATTAACCTAGATTCATCTTATTTATTTCCAAACACTATTTCCCGCATAAACCTAGATTCACTTAGGTTAACCTAGTTTTTATTAAAACATAAGTTTATTTTATTGCACTAGGTTTACTTAAGTTCACTTTATCCAAACAGAGTATAATTGTCTACCATTTCCAAAAAATTCCTACACCTATTCTCTTCTGCTCGTATTCTTTAATTCTCTGTACTGTCTGATCATCTATTATATCTTAATACTCATACATTGTAATTCATAATTATATATATTAATATATGTATATCTACTTCTATTTAAATAATATGAAGTATTATACCTACTTAGAGCCATCAAAATGGGTCGAAACCCACGGGCTGACCCGTTTAAACCCATTTATTGGTGGATTAGGGTTGAAAATTTCTGACCCATTTAGTTCGCGGGTTTCGCGGGTCAACCCACGCGGGTTGTGGGTTTAAGTGGGTTGGCCCACCGGGTTGCGGGTTGGCCCGCGGGCCAGTATACAAAAATATAGTTTTAAATTTTATTATCTTAAATATTATCCTTTTACTACCAATATTATTATAATTACAAACAAAAAATTACACCCATGGCAAAACAATATTTATTTCAATAATAAATATTCAAATAAAATGTTGAAACATATATTTTATGTGAAGTTCGATACAATATTTAACAATTAGTAGTCATTATTTACAAATAATTAATCAAAAGGTTTATATAGATCTTTATTTTTATACAATGAGTATTTTTGTCGCATACCCTCTTATAGTTTTCAAATTCTCGTATAACTAGTACTCCGTATTTAGTATTTTTTAATTAAACTTAACAAGTATTGAATTTTTAGTATTTTGATTTTTTATATTTCCTTTGTTACTACTTACTAATATAAATTTATACTTCCGGGTAATTATTTTTAATTTTTTTGTTATATATTTTTTTTACATATTGGCCCGCGGGCCAACCCGTTTAACCCACGGGTTAGGTGGGTTGGGTTAGGGTTGTAGAAATTCTGGCCCGTCATTAAACGGGTTGGCCCGACCCAACCCACATAGACCATAACCCGTCACGGGTCGGGTCGGGTTGGGCCGGGTTGGCCCGTTTGACAGCTCTATACCTACTTTTATTTAAAAATATAATATTAGCTATATATATTAAAGTATGAAATATAATTACACTACTCATCTTATAGTTATATACTATTAACATTATTTAATATATTATACTCCCTCCGTCCCGGTCATTTCTTCCAATTTTGACCATCGCAAATTTAGGTAGTGAGAATAAAGTGAAAATGTATGGTTGTAGTTGTGTAAGAAAAAGGTGAATGAATGTGAACCACATATTTTTTCCAAAAGTGGAAGTTGGAAGAATTAATTGGGACGGCCCAAAAAGGAAAATTGGAAGAAATGACCGGGACGGAGGGAGTATATATTAAGTATCTTATCCTATTAGTCACATTATATATGTTAAGTATATTATCTTATTAGTTACACTAATTATACTTACATTAATTTATTAAGTATAGTATATACTTTATATTTTATACTTATAGTATTTAGATAATTATACACTTTTTATTGTTGTAGTTAACCAATTGCTACATTTATTTGTCACAGTTATAAATTAATTATATATATATATATATGAATATACATATATAAATATATATAATATATATGAAATGTAATATAATATACACATACTATACACGAAATACACACACATATATATAATTATATAATACCGAGTATTATATAATACACAAACCATATAAGAAATATATAACAAACTAGTCCTCCCATGCTAACCTACAAACTGTCACAAATTGTGCTCCTTTACATTATTTGTACTGCATATTAAAGTTCAAAATATTGCACATTATTTGTATTGCATATTGAAGTTCGAAGTGTGCATCTTTACATTATTTGTACTGCATATATAAGTTCAAAATGTTGCATATTATTGAGTTTGTAGGTTAGTATTTTAGGCATGGTTTGTATATGATCTCTTATATATATATATATATATATATATATATATATATATATATATATATATATATATATATAGAATAAAGATCAAATGAGAACAATCCTTAACGTGAGAACGTGAGAACACCACATTTACCCCAACGTGTTGCACAACGAACCTTATATATTGCACATTTTCACATTTTCACAATATTTACCAAAATGCCACCATGTTTATTTAATATAGGCTGAATTCGAGCAAATTGAAAATGTGCAACAGAATAGCTTCATTATGCACCACGTTGATTTAAATCAGTACAAGATCTGACAGATGATCTTCATTCTTATTTCTTTCCTGAGATACCATTCTCATTTGAACCTCTATATATATATATAGAGGTTCAAATGAGAATGGTATCTCAGGAAAGAAATAAGAATGAAGATCATCTGTCAGATCTTGTACTGATTCTCACGTACGACTACTCCTTCTAAAGGTTATTCACATCATTTTATTTTTTAAACACAGGACGTGCAAATGTTTCCTTCTTTTATTCTTTCCATAACCGTTTCTCATAATCTCTTTCCTTATTGACCGTTCTATGTTTGGTCGTTTCTCTTTCCTTTCCCTACCAGTTTCACGCTTGTTCTCCATCGTCCCTGTCAAGCCGATTTTCTTCTTGGCGCACATCATACACAATTTTGCCATGGAAACCAGTTAGCATCGCTGCTCTATTCTTTGTTATGTTGTCATTTCATTTACATTTTTTATGCGTTCCTCTGTTCTTTCCCCGTTTCTTATATTTGTATCTCGTGAATGTATGTGAAATGCTGGGAAGTTTAGAAATCGCCTAAATAACCTCCATTTTGCGCGATGAATGAAGCTATTATTGTACGTAATGCAATCCCCTAATGCACGTTGAGTGTAATGTGTGTTTCAATTTATGTGATTTGTTTTTAATTTTTTAAAATAAGAATGTAGTTCAAATTTTGATTCAATGCACTCCAATTTGCATCATGATGTGTAAAAATTCTCACACATGTGTTACCGAAATTCTTTTGTTGTGAATTATGTTACATGAAAAATGTTTGTCCATCTATTCAGCTTCAAAATAATGGTTTTTTTACTGCACTCCATTACGTATTAAGATGCTCATAATTGTATCATGTAATTGTATCTAATTGTATGAAGAGTAGTCGAAAATTTCTATTTTTTACTCTTCATATTGAAGCACAAGACGTAGCAGTGGGAAGGCTAGATAATTGGGAAGAAAAACTACAATACAAACATGAATTAAACTACAATATCAATGCACATACACATCACATTTTATGCATCAATAATTTCATATTGGTCTTACCAGTTCTACATCCTTCATATATATTTCGGGTTTCATTGCTTGGAGTCCTATAAGCATGTCTTGCTTCAACAATGGATATGTTGTGTCATCCGTCACGCCATGGGCTTCAAGCGTGTATAGCTGCCACAATTTTAGTTAACATAGACTGCATTATTATAAACCTAAAATATGAACTGAAAGAGTAACTTAAAAATTAAAGTATTCCTACACATGGATATGCTGGTGCAAAAAAATGACACGGTGATTCTTCGCTTCGAAGCTTTTCCTTGATACTTAGTATTGTAGACCAAGCATCAATCACACTCAAAGATATGTGTTTATCTTCTTCCAATGTCATCATATCGTCTCTGGTCACTTTCAGATCGTTGAATTTGAAAATTATCTCCGCACTGTCAATAAACCAATGTGTTTATATGAAAAACATATATAGCACACATATACGATTTTTTAATGCACTTTACATAGTAATATGACACACATTTCATCACCTGTCCACACCATGTTTTTTTGAAACCCAGCTACCCAAGAGCTATTCAAGTGTGTTACAGGTTTGTCTTGGATCAACCATCCTGCACATGAATGGCGATTTAAAAAACTTTCCCGCTTTACCTATTCTTCGCAATCCCACCTCATTCGCATTTCCGGCTGCAACTTGAACCTCTCGACATGGTGTAGCTTCTATAACCTGCTACACATCACAGTGTTGTTAAACAATTTATTCACTTCATACTAATAAGTTTCATTTTTACATATTACCTTGTTAGTTTGCACACTAGGCTGCCCAACATCAACATGTGAATCATTGTTTCCTTCTTGTGTCAGTCCAATAGAAAATGTTGGACTTTCTTCCACTCCTGTCTTGGTCATCGGCTC